TTCAGTGAAAGTGATAGAGAGAACTGTGAAGTGATAGAGACAGTGATGATAAAGATGATAGAAGTAATAGAAGTGATAGAGATGATAGAAGTGATAGAGATAATAGAGATGATAGAAGTGATAGAGGTGATAGAAGTGATAGAGATAATAGAGATGATAGAGGTGATAGAGGTGATAAGAGTGAGTGGTAAGATTTATGAATGAAGAGAGAAGTATGAAGTGAAAGTAATAGAGAGTGCTACAGAGCGTTAGAGGCGGTGATGATGATAGAGAGTAGATAGAGTGATGCAATTGACAGGTGTTACTATATATTCATGGATTTTTAATGAGGTGTATATGATGTCACATGAGGTCATGTTACAGCGTTTTTTGCATGGAAAAGTTGGTTTTTCTTTAATATATAGAGAGACACTGTTGAAATCTTCCATCTTTTATTGAATCCGCTGTTGAAATCTTTCATTGAATACACTGTTGAAATCTTTCATTGAATTCACCGTTGAATCTTTCATTGAATCCGCTGTTCCATCTCCAATTCAAAGCAGTTCAATACCTCAATTTGATGAATACTTCAATTGATTGACAAGGGAACAGTTGCTTCATATGAATATTAACAAGAGTATATTTCAAATTATAAGAGATGAGTTAAAAAGTTCATTATAATAGACAAAATTGCAGAAATTTAAATCATCTTTATTCACTATTTATAGTGATGAGAACAGATCTAGACTGACTGCTGAGATTATAAATTTCACATTTAATTTCATTTAATCTGATCTCATACATTTCTTGATGTGAATCCCACTGAAACTGACTATTAAAAAAACATGTAAAGTGACTATATATCAGATCTTAAAATGAAATCATGACTTGAAAAAAATAAGAAAGTGATCTCATTTAATCTCATTTAGTCTCATTCTTAGTATAAAGTTATTATTTTTAGACATTTTAAGGTTTTTTTTAGACTATTTTTAATTTTTTTAAAAGTAACACTTTTTAATAACACTTAAATAAGATTTAAAGTTATTTAAAGTAATAAAAATAATTTAAATTGAGAAGTGAAAATCATGATCTCATTTGAAAAATGTAATAAGAGTAGACAGTAAGTCTTATTAAAATAGTATAAAACTACTATTTAATATTAAAACTGTGTAATGAAATCAGTTGAATTAATAATAAGACTATTAAAAAATCTGATTCTGATCTCAGATATAGTTACAAGATTAATTTAAACAGATCTTATACTGCTTTCACTTCTAAATTTATATTATAATGAATTATAATCTGAATCTTTTTAATTATTATAATACTATTCTATATAAGTAGATCTGAAATATTCTTTTATATCTTTTTCTCTTATAAAGTTCTCAACTGTATAATATAAAAAAGCTTCAAAATCTTCATTAAATCTCTTTAGAATTGAAGAGATATCTGATATGATCTTTGACTTTATATTATATATTGAACAGAGTTCTCTAGCAGTTTGAAAACAGTGAAGATTTCATTGAATTCAATATATACAGATGATAATCAATGCTTCACATGATCTCAGCAGACATATAATTATTCTTAAGAAGATATACAATCTTGTTAATAATGAAATCACAGAGTTGAGATGACATATTGATGATAAAGGTAAGAAAGACACATATTTGAATGATATTTGATTGAAAAAGACATGTATTGGATGATATTGAATGATTCTAGAGAAATGCAGATTTTTTGATTTTTTGGTGATGTTTTGCTACTAATTTTCAGAGGGGGCTGGGAAAATTCTGTTTTCGCAAGTAATATGTCCGCCACAATATACGAAATACATAATACATGCAGTCTCTCTGAACTTTCAAGTCTAGTAGTAGTTAAACACATCCAGGCTCCAGATCCTGCACGTCAACCACGCCGGATCCTCCATATACCTGCGTTCATACATACACTCATCTCATATATCACAATTTCACAAACAGCTCTTGGAATCATGTCCACTTCATCCTGCTCCTCAGTTCAACTAACTCCCAACTCCTCTCCAATTCCCTATGATTCTACAAACAAAACAAAGAAGGCTGATAACAATGATATCGACGATGCCAAACCACGCCACCAAGCCCGGCACTCTCCATCACAACCAACCCCTAAACTCCGACTACATCTACAGGACCTTACCCACCCAGCGACAAAGTCGTTCATAAACCTAATCTCAGATCCAAATGCCGCGATTAACACGGCTCTGGCCAACATTGTAATGTACCTATACACATCCCCGCCGGAACGCAATCAATCTAGAAATACCAGCAGCAGCCATGCGCCCCGCACACATCCACATTTCAACCCTTCAATCCCGGCGACCCGCTCCGTTACCTTCATAATCCGCGACATGCCAGGCGTAGCCTACACAACCGGCACAGAGCTTGATTCAGACCACAAGGAGATACATTTTTCCCTCTCCTACATCTCTACAGTTAGTAACACATTCGCAGATGCAGCGCGCGAGCTGCTGGGCGTAATCACCCATGAACTAGTACATTGCTACCAGCACACCCGCCCTCAGTCTCACCCGGGGGAGGAAGAGCGGAAGAAGAAGAGGAAGAAGAAGAAGTCGAAGAAGATGAAGCAGAAAATGGATAAATCAGGGCCAGTAATCCCAAACCCCCCCTCAGGTTTAATCGAAGGCATCGCAGATTTTGTCCGTTTGAAGGCCGGACTCGTCCCGCCACATTGGAAACGGCCCATGAGCAAGGCTGAGCGCGGTGGGAGATGGGATCAGGGATACCAGATTACGGCATTTTTCTTGGAATGGATTGAGGATGTCAAGGTTGGGGAAGGGGCTGTGGGGATGTTGAATGATCGCCTGTTGAGGGTTGGGTATGTTGGCGAGTCGGATGGGAATGGAGACGGTGAGGATGACGGAGACAATGGAGATGATGGGGATGATGGGGATGATGAAGACGGCGGGGACGATGGAGAGGGGGATCAGGAGCGAGCGGGCGTAATGACGGACGACAAAGATCTAGCTAAATGTGGATTCTGGAGTGGGCTTTTTGGTGCGGGCGTAATGGAACTCTGGGAGCAGTACGGTGAGTATTTAGATGCATTGAAGGTAAGTTAAAGAACGAAAATCCTTCTGAATGGTAGTATCGAGCGCTCTTCGGTCAAGATTCGGGAAATTAAGTCTTCCATATAGCAACTATTGTTTTTCCCCCTCGGAGTATATATAAATTATTCTGTTCGTGACATATTTACTTTAAAGCTAAATATTTTTATTTCATTTCTACACACAAGGCCAAAGATGCGGATGCAACAACCCAACGCACGGAGTCGACGTCTTCCTGGCAAGGGTTAAAATTACACCAAATACCGAGAAATAAGCAAAGCATACAACTGAAAGTTTCGGAAGAGTGCGGGAGAGCATTCGATGTAACCATGAACAGCATAATAAAAAGGACAGTGGACTATATAGGATTTTCTGTGGGATTGGGCAAAACCGCGGCATTCAACTTCGCATATGTCCAACTTTCTCACGGCATTTCTCACAAGCAGACAGTTTTCACAAGCAGACAGTTTTCACAAGCAGCTGTCCAATTGTAAATAGATTTGAGATATGAGCCCTGGCCGCGCTTAAAAAGTAACCGTAATAATAAGGATTAGAAAAGCAGTAATGGAAAGTTTCGGCCGCATATATAAAAACTCATTTCCCAATATTGTACATGTACATTAAAAGAAGAGGGAAAAGAAAAAAACAGGAAAGTAGATACGAGAAAAAAATACATATCAAAAGGCAGAAAGTTAGTCCAATATGAACGTGATGTAGGCTAATAAAAAAGCCACGGGGTCGATCAGAAGGCCAACAGGAGAGTGTGGGAAAGATGAGCAAAAAAAAAACCAAATGCGTTATGTGATCCCGCCTTGCCTTGATATTTTCCTTTAGAAAAAAAAAAAAAAAAAAAAAAAAAAAAAAAAAAAAAAAAAAAAAAAAAAAAAAAAAAAAAAAGGAAAAGAAAAGAAAAGAAAAGAAAAGAAAAAGCAAACCATAAAAGGAAAGAAAAATTGACCCCGGAAATTTTGGTACATTTGCTTTCATGTTTTGAATCCCCTGTTTCCTGCTTATACAAAAACTTCCCCAGGATCAACATACCCCGCTTTCCAGGGCTCCCCGCCTTCTTCCCCCATAGAGCTTGGGACTCTGACCCCAAGCGGACTATACAAATACCAGCCTTTCAGCGAGTACGCCGCAGCTCTGAACCTGGATTCGCTTAAGCTTCCACCTGCTCCTTCGCCAAGTTTATCTGGACCAGAGAAAATACCTACGTTAAAGACGGGGCGATTGCTCAATCGACCAGTTTCGCTCAGGATTTTCGCGACGGGATCTTAGAAGCCTTCCCGACGGCAGAGTTTGCTGAGATCCCGCGTCGGTTGCCGGAAGCTAAACAGTGAGGCCATATCGAGATGGCGACTCGTGAAGTGTTCTTTATAAAATTGCTTCGCTGCTGGCCGACCAGCATGTAGATAGACGGCGCCCACGATGGCACGCACAAAGTTTGCACAGGCTCGGTTGGGAGTAACACCTTCATGGTGAACGGGATATGGAAGTGCTGATTCACCGAAGGCATCACCGTATATTATCCTTGCGCTTGTACTGCGTTTTGACACTCCACCATCGCGCCTAAGGAATGTGCCATTCGAGTTGGTTTCAACTACTGTGTCTGGAGGTAGCCGTTTAAATTGTAGAAGACCCGGGTCTACTTCTGGTCCAGGCTCAGCAGCAAATTCCAGACCCCACTCCCTAGTCATCGCTGCCAGCGGCTTCGCTCCAATATAGGAATACATCGCTGCCCAGAGGACTTTAACTGGGAGCCGCGGATATGTGCTTATCAAGTATTCGGAGGTGTAATACGTTAGGAGGTCACCGCCAAGAATTGAGAGGGATTTATTATTGAACTGCGGAGTAGGGTCAGCAGACTCATCGACCAGAGTGCGAGCTAGCGTCTGAAGTGGTAATCGTTGCGGTAGGGAGAGTCGAGCATGTATGGCAGAGAGCTTAGCGGAATTCAGCGAAGCCTCGACGGGTGGTGAAGGAGGGGTTGGCGTTCGGTTTATATGGAAACTTGATGAGTGTTCATCATCATTGGGTTCATTCTCCTCTGCTAGCACACTGGGGAATGCGGAAGATTGCTGTCGTATAGCTGTGAAAAAAAACTGATGCGGAGCGGGAGTCGCACACCTTGTGGTGGGCCGTATCCGCGGTGAAAGAACTGAACCGCTCCATCGGGGGAGCTGCAGTCTCTTCATTTGGGCTCCCACTCCGGCGGAGGATCTCAGTTTTCCGGGAGTGCTGTAAATGTCGCAATTGAATGAATCGTATACACGCTGAGGAGGCTTGTTCGTTCTTCTTGATAACTTTAAAGGCTTCAAAAAATTCTCGAGCAGGAGCAGGTTGGGTTGAGGTCATGTGAGAAGCAACTTCACACACTAGACTTCTTTTGTCGCTAGCGCATTTCTGTTCCTCCATCATCATTATTCGACGATTTCGCGCCGAACATCGATCTCCTCGTTCGTCAGTCGCACTCTTAAACATCACCATTTAAGGCTATATCCGAACCTCTTACTCAAAATGGGAGGTGGTCCCAGAGTCCGGTAAGTAATTCACTATGGCTTTGCTTTGATTTACTTCGTTGTTTTCGCTCAATTGAACAGCATCGCTAACATGTTGCTTCCGATAGCTACCCGAAGCACGTCTGGTCACCGGCTGGTGGCTGGTACTCTCAACCCGCAAACTGGAAAACCAATACCGCGATAATTGGCGCTGTCATGTTCGGTGTCGCTGCCATGGCCTTTAGCGTTTCTGCGGATAGAGAAGTCCGTACCAAATTTCCGGAACAAGGGAGATTTTTCCCGAGTCGATGGTGGGTTCCCCGCACCTCCTGCAGATAACAAAATACTACACGTTCAAAGACTTATCATACTTTATAGGTGGAGCAAACAAATCGGTGAACACGAAAAGGAATCGGCTGCGGCAAGCAAGTCATGAAGAAAAATGACGGGGAGGTTCATTTGGGTTGATGATCTTTGTGCATTATACATACATTCTTCCTCTTGGCGTTGATTCAATGGGATTAGATACACATACTATTATCAATCGATCAAACAATCGATCAAGCAATTGAATTTCTTTTTTGTATTTCTGAGGCTTTGGCAAAGTTGTGAGCGAGTTGCTTCGTATATAGACGGATCCGTTCAGTATAACTTTCACCATTCCACGACTCCTCTCCTCCGTCGGAATGGGATATATTCGGCATCCCTACTTGTTCGATTACAAAGCTAGCCGCCACTGTGGCACAAATCAATGCTACCGGAATCCGCCCTTGCTCACCCCATGAATTGGCAATGGAAGCCCATTCTACAGATTCTCCAAGTGTTGATCTGACAACTCTGAGCGGTTTTGTGTCATTGCTAACAAGGGACTGAGCTAGGGCTCCAAGAAACGCATTTCCGGCGCCTGTTGGATCAACGACGTTCGCCCCGTGGTATGCCGGAATATGCAAAGAGAGATCCCGGGAGAATGCATAACAGCCGTCCTTCCCTGCTCTCACCACGAGCATTCCATTTCCGTCTTGCCCAATTCCAGATTTCACTATGTCGTCTGCTATGGCTTGGTCCCCACCATTTCTAGCATTCCATGATTCATTGCCAAACATATTAGCCAACTCAAGATCATTGGGGCTGACCACGTCCACCTGTTTCAAAGCCTTATAGAACATTGGAAGCTCCTCTGGGCGACACAAATCTGGCACAGGCTCCCACACAAAAATTGGACGCCGCTCAGCAATAGGCTGTTCAACCTCTTTGCGTTGCGAAATTCTTTCCCGCCTCTGAAGAATTCCCTCGATAATCTGACAGCAGCGTTCAGGGGAGCAGACCATGTGAAATGTTTTGGAAAATACTTGAGAGTCCGAAAGCGAGCTATGATGTAAGCGAAGTTTTGGTGTAAGATACCGGAAGTCTTTTTTTTTTATGCCCCGCATACAAGACGAGTCAGCAAGCTGTAATTGTCAACTGAGGTAGTTCCGATGTGCAAGTACCTGTTTACTTACCTCTTTTCTCGTTCGGGCCGTAACGATTCCATGCCCGTGTAGTAAGCCTTTCTGAAGACTCTCTCAGTATACAGGAGGTATCCCAGGATGAAATAATCTGTCGCATTTCCACCGGGAAGTCAGAGCCAGCATCGACGATCCAGTTTACTGACTGGGAATGCTCCTTGCCCGCTACCATTCGCGCGCCAACAACTGCATAGGCGCCAGCGCCTCCAATGATGTTTTTCACAGGTGGCTTCGGGGCTTCAAATTCAATCTCATCTACATTTATGAAGCGTCAGAAGCTGATATATACACATATAGCCGCTCTACTTTGGGTAGTGCAATGACTGACCGATAATGAACATTCCCAACGTGCAGAAGTCGACATTGCATAGGAATGGTGCGTTACCGGTGTCGTTTGTAGACATCCTATCAGACACATGTAGATATCCAATTTAGGTGCGAACTAATGAATCTAGTCAACTGCACAGCCTCGCGATCTCATCGGAAGTGCGTTGTAGTCCTGTGGACTGAGAGGAAGACTGATGGGAGAGGGTGGGGTAATATTCGTACAGAAATATACTAATTTTGTGGTGTGACTTGGTGGGACTTGACGGTAATTGTCGTCACGCTCTGTCACCAGATAGCTGACGTTCAAAGCTCCAACCTTAGCATCGGATATCAACGTCTCCAACATCGCAAACCTCCCTCATCTGTTCACTGACCCTCCAGGCAGTAACTTAACAGCGCCCATCGCCAGGCAGCTTTATTTCTCATCCTCTATATATTATCGTCCGGAGTCTTCGACTTTATCCGTTAACTCAAATTGTTTCGTGGGACGACCCCCTTTACTTAACACTTCATCCACGCCTGAGCATCGGGTCGCTCCCAAAGCACATACAATGACTACCAACCAAATGAACAATTTCACGACGCTCATCAAGCGGTGAGTTTGTGAAGCTACTATTTTAATAGGAACTATGGATTTCTACTTTGTTAATCATCGGGACAGCTGACAGTTTGCGATAATAGGCTCGAGGCTGCCACCTCTCGTCTCGAGGATATGGCAACCTCTCTCGAAGGTTCAGGTCCAGGCAGCCCTGCCGCTGATGGGATTGCAACAAGTACCGATTCAGTGTCTTCAAAAACCGCATCGAGTCCTCTGCCTCCGCCGCCACCCGTCGTGGAACCGCCGCCTCGCCAGATCGAGGACTTCGATGCCCTCATCAATAAAGAGGTGAAGAACTTTGTCGAGCTTAGTGAAAAGCTTGGGGAACCAGCCGGGGAACAGGTATATTTGGTATAATATGCGAGTTGCCATGAACTACGATGCTAAATGGAAGTGCAGTCCAAAGCAATCCTTCGGGCTTTCCAAGCGGAAAGGACATACCTCTATATCGCACTGAAAGCCAAGAAACCAGACCAGCAATCGCCAGACCTTTTAAGCGACCTACGCAAAGCTTCGGATGAAATCAATAACATCCGGGAAGCGAACAGGCCATCTCCTCTTTTCAACCATTTGAGCGCCGTGGCGGAAGGAGTGGTTTCTTTGGGTTGGTTCTTTGAGCCCAGACCCGCGGAATTTGTTCGGGAATCTGTAGCTGGTGCCCAGTTCTACGGGGACAGAGTGCTGAGGGAATACAAGGGAAAGTGAGTAGACATATTCCTCACACACATTTATTTTAAGGTAAACGAATAGTACTTACCATCTTAAAGGGACGAGCTTCATGTTGCATTTGTTCAATCATATTATCAGATTTTCAAATCGCTTGTTACCTATATCAAAGAGCATTATCCGAATGGCCTGACATGGAACAACCGGGATGGAGTCGACGTAACGGTGGCCCTGAAACAGCTCCAATCCGGTTCACCGACGGCATCTGCGTTCCCACCACCACCACCTCCTCCCGCCGCTGGTGCAGGTGGTCCTCCACCCCCTCCTCCACCCCCCGCTAGTGTAGCCGCTCCGCCGAAGGCAGCACCGACTGGTGACATGTCATCTGTTTTCGAGCAATTGAACCAAGGGTCCGCAGTCACCTCTGGTCTTCGAAAAGTCGACAAGTCTGAAATGACGCACAAGAATCCTGGCCTTCGGGCTGGTTCGCTTGTCCCTGAACGCGCCGATTCAAGGACCGGTGTAACATCCCCTACTTCCCGTGGCAAATCGCCGGTACCAAGCAAAAAGCCAAAGCCCGAAAGCATGCGTGCTAAGAAACCTTCGCGCAAGCAGCTCGATGGTAATAAATGGTACATTGAACATTACGACAGCCCCAGCGACATCATCGAGATACCCGCTCAACTCTCACACTCGATCTTAATATCACACTGCAATAAGGCGATTGTCAAGATCAATGGCAAAGCGAACGCAATATCAATCGACAACTGTACCGGCCTTTCCGTCATCGTTGACTCTCTTGTCAGCAGCGTTGATGTCATCAAGTCTCCTAAATTTGCGCTGCAGATTGATGGCGTAGTTCCAACTATTCTGCTGGATCAGGTCGATGGGGCAAGCCTCTACTTGAGCCAGGAGAGCTTGAACACTGAAGTTTTCAGCAGCAAATCCTCCAACGTAAATATCGTCGTGCCTCCCAAGGAAGGAACAGATGACGACTCCAAGGAGCTGCCCGTTCCTGAGCAGATCCGAACCGTTATCAAAAATGGAGCTGCCGTTAGTGAAATTGTCGAACATGCTGGATGAAATTCGTAATGTATGTTATAAAGTTCCGCGAATTATTTGGCTAGCCATATATAGCTTCCTTTCCCAACACTTTTTGTATGTCATGTATCCAGCAAGCAGAATTGGCGACGAAAGGCACAGTAGACCTTTCGCGGTTAGATTATCTATTTCCAAGCGTTGCTTTCATTCGGTCAAATTCCTTGCCGGACTTTCCTCCTATTGTAAAAGAGTTTTGAATTTTACTATCAACTATGATTCCCCCTTGTTCCCGCCAAGCTAATTTGGTTGACATGGAACCACTATTATTGTAAGTTTTCTCTCCCTCACCTATCCACTGCGTAGCAATGGCATGGCGAAGGAACATTTTGTCCCCGGAGATGTCTACGTGTTAACCATGCCTTTTACGTCCTCTTTGTTTTAATTAGAGCCAGTGTATCCCGTTGC